GTGTGTCTCGTGTCCATGAAATACAGCCAGACCAACACTAAACCATCCTGCACACCTAGAATACTGATTTGAAGATTAACACAACAATTGCACAACCTGAACCACAGAATTCAGCAGGTACGCAGCGCGGAGAGGTGAACATGGGGAGAGAGAATCTGCAGCAAGCAGGGAGCCGCTTTTGCAGGTGGAGAGAGGATGGAGATGGGGGGAGAGAATATGGGAAAAGCACCCCTACCCAAAAGAAGTTGGAGAGAAAGTGGAAAATTAGAAACAGCTGCAGAGACTAAACTAAAAAGGGAGAAAGGAGAAAGGAGAGGGTTTAAATTCCATTAAGACTGAAAACAAAGGAAGCACAGAGTCTGCAACTCCACAGCTCAATATCTGGCTATGCTCTGGTGGAAAGGGTGAATTCCCAAGACCAGAGCAGGGTCTAGGATGTTCTTAAGCCACACGGGGAAAAGAAGTTCCACTGCTGGAAGGACATTTGGTAGAGACTGTTGAGGCCACCTGGTCCCAGCAGACCCCAGAGAACAGCCACAGTTGCTGGTGCTGGAACAAGGTCATTAAGGGTGAAGCCTAGTGTCAGATGTGTGTTGTGATATTCCATAATCCCTGAAATGCTGCTGATACACTATCTCATGAACTTTTTCTGGGGTGGGCTGGCACCTGGCCACAGTCATGGGCATGGGTAGCAGCAGGGTCCAGCAAGTGTTCCTGCATGCAGCCGACATTCAGCCATTGCTCAGTGAGACCCTCCTGCAGAGAATCGGAACAGGTCAAAGCCACAGTCTTTCAGAAGTAAGGGGCTGGGTAAAACAGCAGTATCTGAGACAAAACTGGGGAGAGAGGTACTTCCAGGGGCTTGGTCATGGACAGTGAAAAAGTGGGGAGTGGACAGAAGCTGAAGATAGAGGATGGGTGCACAATTGCTGCTTGGGGAGAACAGAGTTCCGATACTAGAGAACGGATATCTGACCAAAACACACCTAGGATCTAGCATCATTTATTTGACATTTTGTGTAAGTGTTTTTAATTTTTTAATTGTAATATTTTTTAATTTTAATTTTTTTCAATTTAAATTTTTCTACCCCATTAATTCCTTTTTCTCCCTTCACAATGACGAAATGAAGGAATTCACACCAAAAGAAAGAGCACAAAGAAACGACAGCCATGGATTTAACCAACACAGATACAAGCAAGGTGTCTGAACCAGAATTTACAATCACAATAATAAGAACACTAGCTGGAGTAAAAAATAGATCAGAATCCCTTTACGTGGAGATTAAAAAGAAGTAAAAACTACTCAGGATGAAATAAAAAATGCTATAACTAAGCTGCAATCACGGATGGATGCCATGGCGGCAAGGATGGATGAGGCAGAACAGAGAATCAGAGATATAGAGTACAAACTTATGAAGGAGAAACATAGAAAATGAAGCAGAAAAATAGAGGGATATTAAGACAAAAGAGCATGACTTAAGAATTAGAGAAATCAGTGATTCATTAAAAAGGAACAACATCAGAATCATAGGGGTCCCAGAAGAGGAACAGAGAGAAATATGGGTAGAAGGGTTTTGGGAGCAAATCATAGTGGAAAACTTTCCTAACCTGGGGAAAGACACAGACATCAAAATCCAGGAAGCACAGAGGACTCCCATTAGATTCAACAGAAACCGACCATCAACAAGGCATATCATAGTCAAAT